GTGCCCGTCCCGGGGGCTCCCGCGTACTGCGGCCCGTCCCGGGGGCTCCCGCGTACTGCGGCCCGTCCCGGGGGCTCCTGTCCTTGCCACAGGGGACCAGGTGGTCCTCAGAACTCAGATTCCGGCGGGCATGAACGGTAGGGCCAGGAGCCAGCGTCCCTCTTCCTGGAGGGCCAAGGTGACTCTGGGCAGCAGCCCCGCCCGAGGCCCGGCTCTGGAGGGGGCATGCCCTCCGGCGCGTCACTAGGCCAGCCCTCAGTGCTCCCTACAAGCCACACACATCTACAGGAGGCTCCGGCTTAAACAGCCCACGTTTGTCTGACTAGCCCAGGAAAGCACAGGCGACAGCTCCCGAGGAGTCCTTCCTGGCGAGGCTTCGGGCCGGGGGACCCGCGTCTGCAGAAGACGCCGCTAGCGTACAGTCAGAGATTGCAACTGTTCTGGGAAGGGGGGTGTGGTGTCCGGCGCTGACCCCACCGCTCCCAGATGCCAGGCTGGGCTCAGCGCCCTTGGCCACAAACGCACACACGAGAGGCCTTCGTAACCGTGGCCTGATGCTCACTGGTCTCTGGGGATTCCCCCCCTGCCGAGTGAAGCACAGGACATTTGCACCACCTAGAGCAGAGAGCAGGTGGCAGGTTCTGGGTCAGTGCACCGAGCACCCAGCTAGGTGTGGGGCTCAGTGCGGCCCTGGGACGGGTTGAGCTCCTTGACCTCCTTGGAGGGCCCGGTCCCTGGAACGGAGGACACAGGCCAGGAGGAGAACGTGACCGAGCGCTGTGGGTGCTGGCAGAGGGGCCGGGCGGGGTCTGCGGTCCGGGCCTCTCTTGAAGCCCTCTCCCTGCAGTGGGCAGCCTGGCCTGTGGATGAAGGACTGTAGACTGGCCAGGACCAGACGCAGAGAGGAGCAGGGTGGGGCATGCAGAGGCTTGAAGGCCACCCTCTGGAGGCCGTGGGTCCCTGGGCACTGGGAGGTGGGGGCGGGGGAAATGGGGCTCTGGATCCCTGGTGTGGCTGTGATCTCAGAGGTGCCCGGTCAGAAGGCAGGGCTCTCAGGAGCGCATGTGGCGAGCGCCGCTCCTGCCCTCTGCTCTGTCTCTCCCTGAGAGACAGGACCCCTGAGGTCCTGCCCCTTCCCTACATGATACCCAAGCTTGGAAATCAGATCCACATGAGGTGGCCTTCTCTCTAGAAGAGCACGAGTGGCATCTGTCGGCGCTGGTATGGAGACACAGGGGCTGTGCCCAGGACAGGGCCCCAGGGACTTCCGGGGAGGTGCAGGCGCAGGGCCGGCTGGGTCAGGGCACAGGTGTGGCACCTGGCACCCCTCAGAGCCGACACCTCACCAAGGAACGGAGGCAGAGAGGACTTGACCAAGCGGGAGTCGAGTCAGCCTGAGAAGAATGAGTAGTGACGCCGTCCCGGAAGCCAGCAGACAGCAGGGCTGCCGGAGCCCCCAGGACGCGGCCACTCCCACAGGCACAGAGCGAGAACCCAAAGGCGGTGTCCCGGGGCTCCGCGGACCACGCAGGGCCCGCCCCCTGCACCTTTGCGCCCCAAGCACACCCATCCCACAGCCGCTGCAGGAGCCCACGCTCCGCCCGGCCTCCTGTTACATGCCCGTGAACTTGTGCGTTTCAGATCACCACCATGGAGAGCAACCTGAAGACGATCGAGGAGGAGAACAAGGTCATCGAGCAGCAGAACGAGTCCCTCCTGCATGAGCTGGCCAGCCTGAGCCAGTCCCTGATCCACAGCCTGGCTAACATCCAGCTCCCACACATGGTAAGTGACTGAGCCTGCAGGACGGACGCACCGTCCTCCTCACCGCCTCATAACGTAGATCTCTCTCTCTCTTTTTTTTTAATCATTATCCCATGGTTCTTCGACCTTTGGATGTTTTTGGTCACCTCCCCCAAGCCATAACATTAACCGCTAGACACATCGGTGGGGCTTCCATAAAGCTAAGCGTGCGCTGCCCCGCCAGTCTGTGCTCCGCCCCGGCACTATGCTGTGATACTGTTTGATGCTTTTGTGAATATTCCAGAAGTAAAAGTTGTATATGAACTACTATTTAATATCTCGTAGGATCCAATCAATGAACAAAATTTTGATGCTTACGTGACTACTTTGACGGAAATGTATACAAATCAAGATCGTTATCAGAGTCCAGAAAATAAAGCCCTACTGGAAAATGTAAAGCAGGCTGTGAGAGGAATTCAGGTGTGAACAGCGGCTCTAACGCTGACTCTCCTGCTTAAAAAGGATGCCTCTTGTTTTTTGCTGCTGTACTTAACCAGAAAGTGTTATCTATTTATCTCTGTTGGAACAGTGTGATGCTTACAAGACTTCATAATGGTTTATGTCTTGCTTTAAAGATAGTACCTGCAGAATAGTTTTTGAATACATTCACATTTTGTACGTTTTCATATGAGCTGACATCGTGTGACATATCATGTGATGTTTATAGATGCTCCTGTATGCACATTGGGGGGATATATATATCTATATCTATATATATTTCTGAAGAGGTAAGCTGATGAAAAATGAATAGAGTGTAAATTCTTTTTAATGCTTTAGTGATTAAACGTTTTAGTATTTTGAACTGAAATGGACAAAAAAAAAAAGAAAAAGAAACATACACACACACACACACACATACACACACACACAGCTTTGTCTGACCATGCTGTGGCCCTGGCCACTTTTTAGATGACCATTTTCCTCATGTTGGAGGACTTTATGGAATTAAAGAAATACCTTTTGTGTGCATATTGTTTCATAGCGAAGAATTGGTTGCAGAAATGCTTTATTTTTGAACAATGCCTGGAAATATTATGTGACTTTTTTGTTTGTTTGTTTTAGGAGGATGGTGTGTGGTGGGGACTGTAAAAGTGAGGTTTTTTTGCATTCCAAGGAAATGGATTAACTGTAAGAAATAAAGTAATTTATTGTAAGACAACATCAAACCATGGAAACTTGGCAGAAGATTCAAAGCAGCTTACACAGCACTTTTAATTAACTCCTAAACATTACATGGTGTGATGATGGACTCTCCATAAGACAGGCGCGTGTCAGAGGTGGACAACACGAAGATTTCCCTTGCTCCTTCCTCTCCCAGCACCGCTGCTGCCCCTCTGAACCCTCACCTCACCTCACAGGAGCTGAGCGTTTCTGATTTGAGCGAAAAGAGCATTTAAGAGCATTTATTTCCCCTTTTCACTTAAAAAAAAACCCTCTCTTGTTACTCTTGCTTCCTATGTTGAGGGGTAAAGGCTACTGGCTCTGAGTGTTCTGGTCGCTGGACAGAATTCTCTGCTGGACAGGGCTGGGGTGGGTACAGGTTTCCACCCCACCCCGCCTGGCACTGACTTTGACCTAGCCTTGGGTCCCGCTCAGAGCACTTGGAAAGGACCTACTACGTAGCATTTGCATAGCCTGTGGGGTTGATCGGGACCTACTCTAAGAATGAATGCAATCAGATTATTAAAAGTTAATGAAATATACTTCGGCACTTTTTTGCTTTAAACTAGATCATCTTAGACTTATTTATACCTTCAAGATTTGATTGTTTTATTCCAAATGACTGCACTATATGTATGCATAAGACCACTTTTGACTGCCGCGTCCCCTCCTGAGTAGTGGTCCTTCGACTCCGTGTTGTGTCTCCTGTGTTGCCCATTTCCTTTTAGAGGCGCCCCCTCCCTTCCATGTCTTGATGTTATGCAGGAAGTACGGACGTACTTCGAGATTTTGTTATGAAATAAAAGATGGGTTTTGTAAAATAAAAAACTATTTTTAGCAGAACAGGACTTACAGGGTCATTGCCCCACGATGTGCCAGTTGGCGATTTGCACTTCCCTGTCCTCTCCACCCGCACAGAGGTGTGCACCCCCGAGTCAGTCTCCTCTCCACACTGAAGCTGGACGAAGCATGGCGGAGGCCCTCACGGCTGACCCACACAGTGGCTAAGGGAGACTACAGGGATCTCACGACAAACATTCTGATACAATACTCGACCTCGGTATAATATATAAATATATATATATGTATAAATATATGAATACCCCAGCGGCACTTTATACTGTTCAGTGTACAAAAGCTTACAGTTTTCCACGAGGACTTTAATAACTAGCTGGGGGGGAAAACATAAAACAAAAAACAAAAAAGGATTATGTAATTACTTTGGGGCTCTGCAGGACCTTGTCTGTACAGCGCCCCCTTTCTGTTGTGCGATTAGTCGTAGCTGCCGTGCTCGGAATTGCCTTTTCTGAGAGCCGAAGCAAGGTGCTTCCTGACAGCTGAGGCCATACTGTGGGGGGGCGGGCCTCGGCCGGCCGCGGGGCCGGCTCGCCCCAGGACCTTGTTCACACTAGCACATGCACTTCCCACTGCGTCTCCTCTGCAGCTTCCTGGCCGATGTAGTAACGCTTTTAGTAGAGTAATAGGTAGTATCAGTTTGGATTCTTATCGTTATCACCTATGTACAATGGAAAGGGACTCTAAGCACAAATCTGCTGCTCATGTAATGTTGGGACATGCTGTCAAATCAAAGTTATCTGTGATATTATATAGGGATCACCACGCGTCACACGTTAGAATGCTGACTTACTTCCACACGGGGTTATCGTGACTCATCAGAGCTTATTTATTATAACTTATTGTTCATATTCATTTCTAAGTTAATTTAAGTAATCATTTATTAAGACAGAATTTTGTATAAACTATTTATTGTGCTCTCTGTGGAACTGAAGTTTGATTTATTTTTGTACTACACGGCATGGGTTTGTTGACACTTTAATTTTGCTATAAATGTGTGAAATCACAAGTTCCTGTGATACTTCATTTTTAAATTGTGAACTTTGTACAAACTTTGTCATGCTGATGTGAACACATCTTACTCTGAATAAAAAGGTGTTGCCACGTTTGTAGCACGAACGATCTCTCGCTGTGTCTGGATCTTCAATAGAGCCTGGAAATGCCACCTGGGGCCCCAATTCCCTCTCCCCTCCCTCCCTACCCCACCCCTACAGCAAATGTATTTGTCTCTGTTTCCATGACTGTGTCCGACGGTAACCTTGAGGCATACCGGAGTGTTTGACCCTCAGCCCCAGGTACACCCGAGTGAATGACTTCCCTCTCTGAGTACTTGGACCCTGAGCTGACCAGGCCCTACTTTCTTGGAGAGATGGTTCTACCCGTGCGGCGTTTATTGTTCCTCTCCATCCCAGGCTGATAGAAGTGTGAATCTGACCATGCTTTGTGATGCAACTGTCCCCTGAGTGACAGAAATCCTCCCGCCTGCCTAGCACAGACCCCGCCACAAAGCAACGCGCTTCCATAGAGCGCAGGTCTGGACCTAGGGGTGTCCATACTAAAGCTAGCGCCCACCCCCACCCAGGGTTTTCCTTCGGGTTGGTTCAGGGCCACATGCTGGCACCTGGGGCATTGCCTGCCCCAGGGCCTTTGCTTCCCTTATTCTGGGACAGCGCCTAGTGTTCCTGCCTCTCCCACAGCTCGGGCACTTCCAGGGTCGGCCCAATAGTGTCTGGTGCCGTGGACTGGTCCCGTGTCCGTGGTTCCCAGGAAAGCAAGGACCTAAGCACTGGCATCACCCACGAGACCCAAGTTTCCCTTCAAATAGGACTGACAATGAGCTACCTTTATGAATGATTTAAAAGCCAGACTACCCTCCAATCATCCCTACAAATTTTGAAGAAGAGACCCCCACCTTCTGCGTTAATTCCAAAAGTGACCCCCCTGCTCCCAGGGGGCCCTGCTGCCTCAAGACCCCAGACCAGCGGGGCAGCCCCTCCCCCACCGGAGCAGCATTGGCCCTCCAGCCTGAGGCTGTTACAGGGCTGGGGCTGGTCCGAGGACTCCTGCTGGACAGGTGATTCACAAGGTGAGTGTGGGTATCCCAGAAGGGCCAACCTGATCATCAAATGTGCCTGAAAAGTGCCACCTTTTTTTTTGGTCCAGTCATGGGCCTGAACTCTGGGCCTGGGCGCTGTCCCTCAGCTCTTCAGCTCAAGGCTAGCGCTCTACCACTTGAGCCATAGCATCACTTTCGGCTTTTTTCTTTTTGCTTATGTGGTGCTGAGGAATCGAACCCAGGGCCTCATGCATGCAAGGCAAGCGCTCTACCACTGAGCCACCTTCCCAGCCCGTTAAAATGATTCCCAAAAATCTTAGAAAAATTATTTTAGTTCAATATTTCCCAAAGTGTATGCTTTAAATAGCAAACAGTTTTTAAATGAACCAAAGTAAAATTTAAAGCTATGATATCCTGTTAGAACAAGTAGACAGGTTATGAACGCACACTTGAAAGCCAGATACTAATGGCTCACACCTGTAACCCTAGCTTCTCAGGAGTCTGAGATCTGAGCATCATGGTTCACAGCCAGCCTAGTAGAATTGTGGCTCAAGTGATAGAGCATCAGCCTTGCGTGGTAGGGGACAGAGCCCAGATCCTGAGTTCAAGCCCCAGTTCCAAGACCCAAAGAAAGCATATTTGAAGACCAGTATGAGGTTATTAAAACGAGGCCCATCGGTCAATAAGTGAGCTGTGGATACGTGGAGAGTGGGTCCTGAGTGAGTGAGCTCTGCCCCTCCCAGGTTACATGAACGGTGTCTGGGCAGGGCCTCTGGAACAAGAGGAAAGGAGAAGATGGGTGGGTGTCACAGATTAGACACTGCATAGAGCACTTCCAGGGAGAGCCCAGCCCAGGAAGAAAGAAAAAGATAAACTGAAAGGAGAAGCCGTCTGTGTCTGGTCTTTGTCTGCGGTTTCCTGGCTGTCCACTCCCTGCCCTGACTTACAAATCCGAAGGGACCGCTCCATCCCACCTCCCCCACCTCAGACAGCCCAGAAGCCAGAGAACAGGGAGCACCAGGCGGGTTCAGAGAGGAAGGCCTAGGCTAGGCGATGCAGGAGGGGTGTGCGGCTCCCCCCCCTCCCCGCCCCTCTCCACCCCTCGGTGTTTGCACAGTAAAGAGAACTCAGGACACAGAGACAGGAAAGAGCAGACGCCAAGCAGGAAATGGCCTCCAGGCAGGCCGTGGGTGGCTGTGGATGATGGGTCCACCCAAAGCCTGTCCAGGGATGTCCTGCTGGAGCCGGGAGCCTGGCTGCATCTCCTCGCATTAGGTGGACAGGACAGTGTCCTCCAACAGCCCCCATCGCAGGAAACTGCTCTTCCAAATGCACAAGATGCCATTTCTACTCC